GGGGGTGGAGGTAAGCAAATAAACCCACTGCCCTACAAACAGGAATGCCACCTCTACAATGTTGAAATGCCACCTGTAAACATCTACATGTGAGTGTGTATGGGTGACTTTCGCTTCAGCGCATTGTCTGCCTGATTTTCTCCACCTTTCCTCTCTCTCCAAGCTGAGTATAAATAGTCAGCTGTCTCACTAACAGGGGGCGTGTATGCTCGTGCTGATAGGATGCCACTTGTACATGACTAGCTCTCTGGCCTTGGGGTGGCATATTTTGTCCGTTCTTGCTATTGCAACTATGTATTCTCTCCAATCTCTCAGCCAAGAGTCCGGTCTAATAAAGAATATCGGCATCTGTGGTGTAGTGGTTTGGCTCTTTGCTGTCCCACGCAGGAGACCAGAGTTTGATTCATGAGTGGGGAGAATTTTTATCAAGTATCTCAATTTTTTTTTTGTGCTGGGGGGGGGGGGCAATGTTTGAAATCATCTTGATGTCTTTCCAGGAAGCCATCGTCTAAAGGGGTAGCATTTTTAACCTTATTTCTTGCCGGAATATTAGCACAAAAGTGTGAAATGGAATGTCTCCTTGATGAGGATAAAGCTCCTTTCTGTGTGTCATGCGCTAAATATTGCATTGCATTGTTTTTCACATTCATATCAAATTTGAAGAAACATGTAAAAACTTTAAATGTACAAGTATGAAAACTGGTTGATAATATCATATCAAACTGATAAAGATCTGATTGTTTGGTTGTTGTTTTTTTACAATATGATAATTTAAAAAGTTGTAATTTCTACCTTATTCACGACCAGATTTTTAATAAATTTCTGTCTGTGCTTTTTATCGCTAGTAACCAAAACTAAAATCAAAGTTGGGTGGCCAAGTCAGGGTGCAGTGCTTACATATATGACCACATTGTTTTTGGTAGCCTGGTAGCACAATTAAACATATTATACTACCCCCGCACAATCTAATGACGTTATGCAATTGCGAGTGTAAATGTAAATTAGCTAGTTAGTTGATGAGAACGCGCATTATGAGGAAGAGGGAAAGGGGGGGGGAAATGAAGAGGGGGAAAAATGTGCCTAAAATCTTCAATAAGCATACATGTGATATAATCTTATGATGTCCAGTTTCATTATTTGAATCGGTATTGATTGAGTTTGAGCCGCACTTTGATCTCACAATCTTCAATGTAATTTTTATTTTCCAGTGATGTGTCATCTCCACCTGAAGGAAAAAGAAGGAGGGCAGCAGCAAAAGTTAATTATGCTGAACCCCTTTTGAATGCGTAAGTACCCTTTCCCCTTTTTCCAACCTTGTTCTTCTTCTGAAATTTTTAATTCTGTATATACTGATTTCAGTTGATATTTTACATCTCGTCAATCAACATAATGAAGAAAAGCCAGTGCTTCCACTTTTCCGTACTTTTACGTAAATCCGTACTTTTTGCCAGTTCTGTACTTGTTCCTCCATCATTATCAACTCCCTCCATAAAAAACCTGCGACAGCGTAGGACTGCCGAAATTCCGTAGCGAAAGATCCGTACTCACCTTGGTATCGTCTTTTATAAGTTACGGATATTTACAGTAATTCTCTCGGCAATAAGTTAATGTTATAGAAACTGCCAGATTGTGCATTTCGTGTATTCAGCCTTTATTCTGCAATGCCTCATGCATTCATTGCTGATTGGTCTGCAGTACCTTTTTTCCTGCAGATTAATCCTAATCTGGCAAACTTTTTGTGCCCATTTCCTCCTTTCTATCATTCTCTCATTCTTTCTCTCTATCTTTGGATTGTTGCCGTGACTGGAAAATCTGCACGTTGATCAAGTAAATTGACTTGTGAACTTCGACAGAAAATTACTGTAGAAAAAACCCCTTTTTTTCAAATTTGTCTTGATGCAAAAAATTTTATCAATGCGAAGATTCCAAGGCACGGGAACGCGACAAGGGCCGCAATGAAAGAAATTTGTGCTAAAACTACTAAAGTCAAGAATAATTCGAAGTGGTGTTCTGAGGACGGGACATGCGACAATCAGACGTGAAAATTGAGGAAAATTCGGGTATACGCTGGGTAACTGTATTGTGAAGGTACATATTTATTCATTATTCCCTGGTTTGCCGTGTATTAATGGTGCAATGACAAATTAATTGAATTATAATAGCAATGGAAGGGGAACCAGCTTTAAACATTGCCAGCAATGGAAAGATAATAATGTAGGTGAAGAAATCAAACAAGACGAAATGTTGGTTAAAAAATAAATGTTATGGGTTGTAGGCAATCTCTTCAAACAGGCTCTCTAATGCCATATGTTGGTTAAAAATTAAATGTTATAAGTTGTAGGCAATCTCTTCAAACAGGCTCCCTAAATGCCTTTTCAACCCTCTAAAAGCACTAAATTTCAATTTCGGACCTCCCGGCAGAATTTTCCTTGCTTTTCAGCTTCAACTGGTGGAAGCACTGAAAGCTTTCATTTCATGGTACAATGGAGATGAGCTTTAACTCTAGTAATAAATAAAGCCAGACACAGGTTTTTTAGGTCAATCTTTTAGGAATTTTAAGAAACTTTCCATTAAAATTACACGCCAAATCGAATGGAAGTACTCTCAAAGTCCTACTTCAAAGAGATAGGTGCATACAGTTTGTGTCAATGTGAGCCAATACACTGTTTAAAAGGCAATTTCAAGCCTTTTTTTCTCTCTCTCTCTCTCTCTCTCTCTATTTTTCAAAATATGTGTATGCCAGGAGAAAGGTACTGGAAGACACATTTGCTCAAACTGAGTTTCGGGGCAATAAAGGTCCAAAATTGTGTTCCATTACAAAATCGTCAGCTATTTATCTACCGATATTTACCTAGTTTGGTGTTTATTTTATACTAAAATGTATATTTGAAAATTTTTTGACACACATCGTCTTACATAGCAAAAGTTGTGTGAGATCATATTTTTCTCTTAGAACCTACAATGTGGAATTTCTCTACACCTGGTTCATTCATAAAAACAAACCTCATCACACCGCACACCCAAATTTAGGTCAGATTGTGACCTATTTCTAGCTGTTAAGTGCTCAGGAATTTAACAAAATAGTTAAGGCTGGAAGGTTTTGTGTATATTATGTACCCTATTCCAACAGGAATATCACTGGAGAAAGTTAAAAGACTTCAAACTGTCAAAAACAATGCAGCACGTTTAGTTTTACGGAAAAGAAAGCGAGATTGCTAAACCTCTAAAACAACTTTGCATTGGCTTCCTGT